TATATATATAAGGGATGTGCATCTCCATAACTGAGTCTGATGCGATGTGCATCTTGATGCTTAGCCAATGATACGATACATTAAAGATACATATGAAGTAACTACCAGTGCAATACGATTCACCCCTATTACGATGCAGTGGAAAGAAGTATGATGCCATGCAATTCTGCATCTACTAATAATTATATATAAATAAATAAGTTTTTACTGATGCAAATATGTTAGAAACGATGCATCACGATACAAATGCCAACTTGTATCCGATGCATCGCATCGTTAACTTTTTTTGCCGATGCACCGAGCGAATCGGTGAAACTTCCCATCCCTAATTCTTATTATTTGCTAAGAACTGTGGTTATTTTTTTTTACTGCCATTATTCACATTCCCCCACTGCACAGCACAAATGATGGACTCGGAACAAGCAGGTGTGTTACTGGGCGCTGTTTGAATTTATTTACGTCTAATGCAAAATATTTTTGTATGGTTGTATTCCATGCTTTTTTATTGCATACCATCACCATAGAAATGTGATGGTAATTCGTTTGCCTATGCTACCGTCGCGTTCTACGTGCCGTTTCTGGATGAGGGTAAGGAACAGAGATTGGTGGTAGCGAGTTGTGTTTTCCCGAGAAATGCGATGCTTTCTTCACTGCCATTTCTAATCTGCATATTATGTCACGTCATTCATGTACGTCACGAGCACATGTTTAAGGTGTTTACAAGCCTGTTTATTTAGATTAAAACAGGCGTACACCACCTATGTTAATACGATTATGCTTGCTGCGATTATGAGCATAATCGCATTATTTAGATCGAAGTATTGCATTTACATGAGGTAAAATTAAATCGCAATATTGTCAAAATCTCATTATAATCGCATTACCGATTTTCTTCTTGTAAGAGAAAATGATGGTTCTGTTAAACACAGATGCAATGAGCAATACATGGAGTTGCAGTTATATACACCAGTTTGGGTCAATTAAAAATGAACATCTTTAACACTGTGATTTAACACCGTCACCAAGATGTAGACAACACCAGCAGTGCTATTTTATACACTTATAATGTTAAAATAACACCAACACTGTGTATTTTACACTGTCTTTGGAAATATAACAGTAATGATTTTGCTGTGTACGGATCAAATTAATTCAGGTCTATAGCCCCCCTGATTGAGGCGTTTATGGCTTTTCATGGATTACTAATGGATTATTTGGGTAAACGCAGCTAGTGATGGCACACTTCTCTCCAGTTATTACATGATGCATAAGTAATTTGTGGGTATATTTTTAAGTTACATTAAATTAAGCGCAATGTTTTTTTCTAATAGCTGAAATTCTGTAATATGGGTATAATGTAACTGAAAATGATTGCATACGGTGATTTACTTCCTGAAATTAATGATTTGTTCAACATTTCCAAGACCGTCAAGTAATTTTCACAATTTTGCAAGAACTTCATCTATGTCCATCAGCCGCACACACTCACTGTATGACTGTTGCACTGGGCCGTTCGTATTGTTGAGCTCTGCTAGTGAGTATATGAGCTCTTCCAAACAGCTCTGTGTCCTGCTGTCTGATCCCATCAGATTCACCTCCTCCAGGTTGGTTTGAGTCTGAGTAAACCGTGAAATGCTACTAACCTCCAGCTGTTCTCATTTCTTCTTCACTCTGTTCTTTCTGTGTTTCTCTCTCTCTCTCTCTCTCTCTGCTCCTGTAGACCATCTCTACCAGCAACTCGAGAAAAACCGCCTTCTCTCTAACGAGCTAAGAATGGCCTTGAATGAGGACTAATATAGTGGACTTTATTTTTTGTTTCCTATCACCAAATGGTGTCTAAAATGAATGCTGTTGTGAATGAAGGTTCAAGGAACGTGTTTTTGTAACAAAGTTACTCTTGCTGCCTTCAAGTCATGTAGGAAAGATCATGATTACAAGTTGAGATTTACCACAAAATAACACATTGTTGGTATGTTGCATTTTGTGCACTATTGAATTTTTATTTAATTCATATTTAATAAATTATACATTTATTTTAAATACTTAATTTATTACATTGTTTTTCTCTTTGCTGTTCAAAAAAACTGTTCAAGAAAAAATGAAAAGCCATCCTTGTATTTACACGCATACACAATTGAATATTAATTAAAATATTTAAACTATAGTATTACATGTAAAATTTAATATACAGCAAATATTAAATATTTAAACAATATATTATAAATTTTATATATTTATATATTTAAATATATTAAATTATCTTTAAAAATTAAAAAGCTGTTCATTGTAAAAAAAAAAAAGTCCTTTGTTCTGTAAAAAATAAATAAAATGTTTAATGTGTGTGTGTGTGTGTATATGTATATATATATATATAAAATAGAGAGAGAGAGGTTATAAAAAAAAAATCCCATACATTATATAAATCAAATTTCCTGTGCTCTTAATTGTCAAGGAAAACCCTTCCTGACTTTGTTCACACTTTATATTTAATAATAATATATTTTGAAAAATTACAAGAATTTTTTTTTATTAATGTACATTATATAAATTCTATTCTTTACTCTGAATTATGTCGGGAAAAGAAAAAGAGAATAAACATCCTAGCGTTGTTATTCAGGGAAAGA